CTAAAATAGGTATACCTAGTTAACGATACGAGCTACCGCCGCCGCTAGTTATCGACGGTAATAAGGAGTAGGAGGTAGAAAGAATACTAGATATAAAAGGCAAAGGAGATAATATATAGTATAAAGTAAAATAGATTAGATATAATAAACCGATATAGGAAGCCGCCGAGAACGCTACTAATACGTAAGAAGTAGTAAAGGACTATTATAAGCGCTACCCGCGTAAGCCGTAACTACGTATTATTAACTTAGCGATATTAATACGACCGAGCGTACTATTATTAGTCGCTATAATCGTAATACTATATAAGTAACGAGTAGATAAAGCGCCGTAGACGTCGCCTACGAAAAGAGGGAGTGCTATTACGATCTTAGCGTCTTGTATATACAATTCGAGGTTACGTAACTAAAGGTTATATAACTTAATGCCTAAGGCATCCGCCGAGTAGATAAAAGCCTCTCCCGCGAGAGAGCCTCTCTCTCTTTCTTCTTTAACTCGTTATTAATTTAGATAGCTATTTAATTAATATCTTAATAGATAGGCCGTCCGTTATATAGGTAGGCACTACTATTTAAGTAGACTTATATAGATTAGTTAGCTTATCCGCTTATTAGTACTAACTTATAGTAGCTTAATAGGCGTAGCGGTAATAAAGGACTCGAAGTAATTAATATTAGTCGTAAGTACGTCGTTCTTAAGCTCTTATTGCTACGCTATTATGTCCGTTAAATAACCTATAGCTTCTATAGCGGCTATAGAAGTAGACTCCTTAGAAGTAGGCTTATAGCGTACTTAATATTTATTCTATAGGGCTCTTGCTTTTACTAGACTATTAATAAGCTACTAGTCCTTCTTCTTGCTACTAGACTAACGCTTACGAAGCTATGCCTTACGGCGAGTTAGATATAATAGTATTATAGTAACGTAGATGCCGCTATCGTCGATTAGACGATAGTATTTATTAAATAGGTACTAAGAGACGTAAATAGCCTTTATTATAGCCTCTCGCTTAGTATGCTGCTTCTTAGTACACTCGAAATAGGTAAGCAACTATTCTATAGTCTCTTAGAAGCAGTCGAAGGTAACGTTATAGCCCTATAAACGTTAAGTCGCTTCCTTAAATAGTGTAAGGAATAGGCGTATCTCTTTAAGAATAAGCTAGTCTAACTCGGTAAGCCGGTACTTATTAATCTGTAGCATACTAATAAACAAGGCGTTAAGAATAGGTCTTGTTTAAAGGGCCTCCTCGATTATTAGTAACTAGCTATTCTAGCGAGTCTTACCTAGCGGCTTCGGATAGGTAGAGGGCAGCTTCGGCTATACCTTAGCTAATTCTTTAAAGGCGTTATAGAAGTCGTTCTCTCGCTATAGGACCTTAGTTAGCTAGTAGAGACGCTATAGTAGAGATTGCTTAGCAAAGCACTCTATATTAAGATCTAACTACCTAGATATAGAGACCTTGTCGCTATCGCTCTCGGCTTAGTTATTAAATAGCACTTGCCGTGCTTAGAGCGCTCTTTAATCGGCTAATTCTGCTACTTCTATAGATTTAGCAAACATAAAGGCTTGTATAATAAGGTTAATAATATAGCTAAAGTAGCGTAGACGACGGCTCTACTTAGTCTAGTATATATAGCCCTTCTTATATATATAGAGCTTAATCGACTCGCAGAGGGTATTATTATTAGCGGCATTGTTAGCAGTTATCTAGCTAAGCTTATAAGCTATTAAGAAGGTCTTAAAGTACGAGATTAATAGCTAAGCAATAAAGTCGCTAGTATAAGAGCCTCGTTATAGCGGCGGTAGGTTAAGAAGGACTTAAGTAAGCTTGCCGTACTTATTAATATACTAGCAGTTAATCGCTTAGAAGTGCTTATAGCCGTATTGCGCCTTCTATATATTAGTGCTAATATAGAGGCAACTAATAGCCTTAAGAAGCGCTATTTTAACCCTCTCTCGCTAGTTCTCGAAGTTATACTATACTCGTACTATTATTAAAGTATATAACTTTAAAAGAGCCTTATCTATATATAGATTAACCGCTAATATTATCTCTTTAAAGGCCTTAGAAACAAGGGAAGAATAAGCGACACTATATGCTATAGTATAGCGAGCTATTGCCTACCTAAATTTGTCTATATTAGCTTCCGCTATATTCCTTAGAATAGTAGCCGTACGCCTTGCCTCGTTGCCCTCGCTTACTGCCTATATTTTGTCGATATTAATACGGCCTTATAGCGGATCTTTTTCTAGATAGATAACAATGCTATATGTCTTAAGAAGGTAGTCTGCTTAGTACTACGTTGCTAGATACTAATTTCTATGCCTTAGGACTATCTACTAGATAGTGCTTATAGTAGAAGTATTTATAACCGTATCTATTACGAGTAGGCTCGCTATCCTACGGATCTCGAGTATAAGACTATAATACTAGGTCTATCTTATTCTTTATAAAGTGTAGCTTCTTCTACTAAGCGAGTGTCGGTAGTATAGGCCTTAGTGCTAGTATAGGCCTTAGTGCTAGTATTAGAGTTAGAAGGAAGGCTAAAGAAGGTATCGATTGCTAGGTATCTTAAAGCTCGTCTAGAGTCGGATTTAGTACTAGTTCGTCTACGCTATCCGTACGCTTACGTTTTCGTAGTTTCTAGCTTTCCTATTCGGATTCTTAGGTATTTAGGAAACTTTCGAGCGCTCGTTAGGTCGGTATACGATTTTCTTATATCTTTATTATAAGGAAGAAGATAGTTAGGTTGTAATTAGAAGCAACAGATTTAGAAATTTAACTTTAGAGGCTAAGTGCGGCCCGCTTTCGGTAAAGCTATCCGAAAGCTAAGAATATAGGTTAGCGAGTCTAATTAGGCTTAGCGTAACCCTTATAACGCAAACTCGAGGCAGATACGGAAACTAGAATACTAAAGACCTTCGACTAATTATCTACCTAATTAATAATAACAACCTTACTACCGCCGCTAGCGGCCTCGCTATCGATTAATCGGTATAGTACCCTATCTATTCGACGCCTAAAGTATATCTACCGCTACGAGCACTACGATTTTAGCCCCTAACTATACTCGAATAAGTAGAAGTATAGTTTCTTCCTAAATTCGAAGTAACGACGAGAACCGAGTAGAAGAATAGGCCTTCCTTTGCGCTCTATACCCCTATAAACCTTTTAAAGGCTATTAGCGATGCGCTCTTAATAGATAGTAGCCCTTTTAACGATCTCCGCCGCGTAGATAAGGCTCTTTATTGTCTTCCTCGTAATCCTTCGAAAGGGCAACTATAAGCCCTCTCTTTCCGCCTCCCTAATATACTACTCGAAGTCCGCCTATTCTACGTACTCGATAAACGAAATATCGTCCGAATTATCCTAGTAATCGTTTACCTAATTATTATTTATAAGAGGTAGATAGACCGAGCGGATATTCTTTAGCTATTATTAAAGCCTCTAGTCCTATAGAGCGAGGAAGGCTTATATCTCGGATAAGCGGTAGATTAAAGAATATAGTAATAGTATAATAACCTCGTATTAAGAGGCCGTTAGCGACTCGGCAACCTACTAGAATTAGCGACCTTCGTATACCTTAGTTCTATCTACCTACCTCGAAGCGGTCTATCCTCCGAGCCTATAGAAAGAGCTTAGTTTTTAGTAAGAAACAAGCGATAAACAACCTAATTTCGCACGATTAAAGAGATCTACGTACGCTATAGTATAACCGTCGAATTGCCGACTAAATCTACTAAATATTCGAATATTTAGTAACCTCGTATTTAGATTTATATTTAATAGCTATATATACTAGTATAACGACGGAGTATACGCCGTATTATTTGCGAGAGGTAATAGTAAGTATATCGTCTTATAGTAAGTCTTCTTCTCTCTTAGCTTTTCTTTCTAGGGCTTAACGCTTAGCGGCTCTTAAGATAGGTATAAGCTAAAGTACAATTTCTTCGGTACGGAGAGAAGCTACCTCTATTTAGGCTCGTAGGTATAAAGAATTGAGTTGCGTAAAGGTAATAAATAGGGATTATATTGCGACCGAGTGTACGTAATAGATTAGTAATTAGGGCTAGCTTCCGAACTTACCGACAACTAATTACGAGCACTCTACCTAATTCTTCGCCTACGAGCCTAATATAAACCCGTACGAAACTAGCCTACTAAACACTAATATAACACTATAACGTATATAAGACATTCTAAATAGCGGAGGTTGTAGCCCTACTAATTGCGCTTTATTCTACCTATTAAAAAAGTCTATACGACGTTAGCGCGTTAAGTTTTCGCTATTCTGCTAAGCCGACTCGACTATAGCTGTCCGGATTGCTAGGCGGCTAGCTGCACTACTAGAAACACCTCAATATATAACTACGATAAGGTAAACACTCTATAGGTATCTAAAGGACTCTCTAGACCCTTCGTTAGGCCTAGTCGAGTCTAAGAACGTACTAGATAAAGGAATTACTACGAGTGAAGGTGTATATATACTAGTAATAGTATATAGCCCTCTATAGTAAGATAAAGGCAAAGGGTTAAGAATATAGATGTTCTAAGAGTCGGAGGTACGAGCGGCGGTTAATCTAAGGGTCCGCCCGTAATTTACTTAGCGTTTTATATACCGTTTGTATATAAGTAATACAAAGGAGGGTAGAACAAACGCAGTTACCGGAAGACCTATCTTAGAAGATCGTATTTATAGCTTCAATTTAATACTTTAACGTATACTTTGTATAGCTATTTTAAAAGATCGTATTATTACGTAGAATAGCTTTTTTAGGTTTGTCTATCTAATATGTAGTTATGCTTCTATAAATTCGAATTCTCGTTTGTATACCGGACGGTTATATAGGAGCCGTACGGTTTTCTTTTAGGCGCTTCGCTATAGGCTTAGTATAGACCGCTAAGCTAGATATATATTAGTATACTTAGCGGAGAGATAATGTAAGGACGTAGAGACAGAGTAGAAGGTAGAAGGTGCTAAATTTAGGTGGAAGGTCTATGCAAGCCTACAAAGCGGGGCGCCTGAATGGAGGTAGGAGAGAAGCTTGCCATAGGCAATCACATTTGGATGTCAGCTTGCCTTCGTCCTCTTCGGCCACAACCAGCAAGTGAAACACAACTTAAGCGGAAACGATCAGATCCAAAAAAAAGATGCTCACGGGGATCAATGAACTAGAGGTGTATTTTCCGGTACAGTCGGAAACGAGGATTTCAAGAACACCTTCGGCCATCCAGGCAGTGCAGAAGAAGGAAGAACTGTCTCGGTTTACAACCTCGGAGCCTTCTCAGGATGCACCTTGACATTCTTCATCGGCGAACGACTCGGCAGACGCCTCTGTATGGGCTTCGCCATGATCTGGATTATCGTGGGTGCCCTACTCCAATGCACTTCCTATTCCGTCGCCCAGGTCATCATCGCGCCATACATCACGGGCATTGGCACGGGGATCGAGACCAGCACAGTTCCCATGTACCAGAGCGAGCTATGCGATGCCGACAAGCGCGATCGACTCGTTTCTTCGGAGCCGCTCTTTGTGGGCGTTGGGATTGTGATCGCATATTTCTTCGACTGCGGTATGAGCTTTGTGCCAGGCCGTGTCGCGTGGCGGGTGCCGATCGGATGCCAGATCGTCTTTGCGCTTCTGGTCATCGTGCTTGTCTTTGGTTTGCCAGAGTCTCCGAGATGGCCGTATGCCCCAGAGGACGGAACGAGGAAGCCATGCAGGTTATGTGCGATGTATGGGGTACGGGAGCAGAAGGTGAGAAGGTTTCAAAGATGCAGGATGAAATTCTTGCGGCTCTAGATCTCGAGCGCAAGCATGGCGAATACCGATGGCGCGATATCTTCAAGCGGGATGATGTTCAAACTGGTCGCCGTGTGCTCCTCGCTTGGGGCATGCAGTTCATGAACCAGATGGGAGGCATCAACCTGGTCGTATAAGTCTAGCTTTATCGCTTCTCTGGATTCTACCAACCGATGCAGCTACTTCGTTCCCTCCGCGCTCTAGGAAAATGTTGGCCTCACATGCAACCTCAGTCTTCTCGTCGGCTAGCTTTAGCTACCACTCGCCGCCATACTCTAAAGGACTCCAGACTAGGACTTCCGAGGCCAGCATTGCCTTCTTCTTCACTTATATGCTGATTTTTGGAGCTACGGCGAAACTTCACGCGAGAGCAAAAGGCAGTGCTATTAGTATCTCTTCGAACTAGCTATAGAACTATTTCGTAGTTATAATCACGCCGACCTTGATTAATAATCTCTAATAGAAAGGATACTTGCTCTTTATAGTACTAAACTTTACATTTGTCCCTCTTATATACTTTTAGTAAGTATAGTATACGGAACGAGGGCTATATATATCTACTAACTTTAGTATAGCTATCTAGAGACAAGCAATCTTAGCTTAGAGGAGATCGACTTCCTATTTATAAGAGAAGGTAATACGGGCTTAACTAAAATCTTTAAGAAATCGTAGGCTCGTAGCTAGTAAAGAGGAGGCTTAAGCTAGCTACTAAGATAGACTATAATATAGAAAGAAGTAGAGCTTTAACTTTTAAGGCTATAAAATACATAAGAGAAATTTAATAGTTATATCGAGTATATTAATAATAAAGCTTTTTAATAATCGAGCGTAAGAGTAGTATATAGAATAATTAATATATACCTACTATATTTTAGCACTAGATACTCGCTCTTCTTATTATACTCGTTAATATTTTACTACCTATCGATTTAGCCTAACTTCTTTAGTATCGCAGTACGAGCTGTTAGAATCTGCGTTAGTAGCGCTTCTTCTCTTACGGCTAAGAGCCTCGCGATCCTTTGCCCGTTTATACTTTCTCTATTATATATAATCTATTATTCGGTATCTTAAGTATAATAGTAGAGCTATATACTATCGGGTAGTGTTAGCAATCTAATTCTCGGTGCGTAACTCTAGCTCCTATCTCGCATCGGACCGTGCTATACTATTATATATAAAGAATTTAGGGACCGCTCGAACGGACCGCATTAGTATAGCCGGCAAACCGGCTATTCGAGACGAATCGTTCTAGAGTGGCGTAGGGCTTCATCGGCGAGCTGTGTTAATGCGGCGGCCTGTGCTAGCTATAGGCTTACTATATAATTATTAATAGGCAAGTTCAATTAACTAGACCGCTCCTAAAGAATTATAGGCCGATAAGCTTTATTTAGGTGTCCTTAGCAGAAACCGGAACATTATTATCGAATTTAGGATTAATAGCTCTAAGAAGCATTTTCTAAAAATTTCCGTTAGCAGGTTCGGTATCGATAATATCCCTATAAATGAATTGTAAGCGGGAGTAAAAAAAATACGGTATTAGAGCGTAAAATCTTACCGGCTAAGGTTCAAAGTATATTTAAGATAGTCTAGCGCATTGAGTCGCTAAATGCCTCCCTTGCATAGTTGTTAATTGTTAATTAATTACAATAATATAGCGAATATTACAATTATAACTAATTGTAAGTAATTAACTATATAATCAAATTATACAATTAGTGCTAGTAGTCGTTATAGTTAAGAAGGAGGTATATTTATATACTCTTAGCGTAGTTAACGATTGATACACTATATCTAGCCGCTAGGTCGTTGTCTTCCGCCTCTTCTAATAATGCTAGCTCTTGTAATAGTATATCTATAACGAGGCCTGTTCTTAGCTAATTCTTTAAACACTCACTTATCCGAATATAGTTACTACTAAGTTGTGAGCGCTCCTATAATATAGTGCGGCGGCTCTAACTAAAGGTCCGTTCTAACTCGGCTAATATACTAAAGGCTAACAATATATTAATAGCTAGTTATACGAGCGCTCGGTTTAAAGGTCGTTGTTGTAGCTACTACTTAATAGCGGTTATATAGACTAGCCTGTTCTTGCTGTCCTTGCCTATAATAGGCAATATAGTAGGTATCGCTTAAATAAAGGTCTCGAAGGGGTCTTCGTTAGTAGCAACTAGGTTAGTTTGTAACTCAATTTGCTATCGCTCGAGAGTAGTAAGACCTTCTAAATTGCCTTTAGAAGTAGACGGCTAAGGGCTTCTATAGCGGCTATTATAGTCTTTCTATAGCAACCTCCTAAGGTCTAATAAGGTCTTAATATCTACCTCCGAGCGCTTCTTAAGCTAGGCAAGTCGACGAGTTAGATATAGAAGTACTACTATTATATAGACGGCTGTCTGTTAGTTGAGACTATAGTACTTATTAAATAGCTGTCTTATAAGGCGGATTAAGCGGACAAGAGGCTTACGCCGTACGTTATATTCGGCTAATTAAGTAAGATAGCTTCTTATATATTCTATAGCTTCTTAATATATATCTAGTATAATAGTATAGCCTTATAGCTTAAGAGTGACCTCCTTAAAGGGCATAAGGAAGTTATAAGTATACTATAGAACCGAGTACTCGTCGCTAGTAAGCTAAGCCTCTCGTAGATACGGCATCCTATCGAAGAAGCTATTTAGAATTGGCCTTGTTTAAAGGGCTTCTTCTGTTATAAGAAGCTGTCTATTCTAGCGCGTCTCTCCTAGAATCTTAGGTGTTAAATGAGGCAGTTAAGGCTACGATTTATATACCTCCTTAAAGACGTTAAAGTTGTCGTTCGTCCGTAATAGCTTAGCGAGTGCGAATAGCCGTTGTAATAGCCCTTGTTTAGTAGAGGAGTCTACGTCTATGTCTGACTGCCTAGAAATAGACATAGTATCGCTATCCTCTATTACTATCTAGTTAAACTCTTTACTCTTAGTAGACTCCTTATCCTTAGCAAATATAAAGGCTTGTATTATCCGATTAATAATGTAGCTAATATAGCGGAGTTAACGGTCCTTCTAGTAGTTAAAGCTAGCCTATCGTATGTAGCCCTCGATAGATTTATAGAGCGTACTATTAGTAGAGGCATTGTTAGTAGTTAACTAGCTAATCTTGCTAGTTATACTAAAGACCTAGAAGCAAGGTATAATAAGCTAAGCGAGGAAGTTACCTATATATAAGCCGACCGGAAGTTGTAGCAAATCTAATAGTACTTAAACGAGCCTGCCCTTCTCGTCTATATACTAGTAATTAATAGCTTAGAAGTGCTTCTTGCTATATTAAGCCTTCTGTGTATTAGTACTAAAATAGAGACAGCTTATAGTACTAAAAAGGCGCTATTTAACTCGTTCTCGCTAGCTCTCGAAGTTGTAAAGAATATAGGCATATAGCGACGTATACGAGCGCAGAAGTGCGTAGTCGGCTTATAGATTAGCCGTTAGAATAAGGTCTCTAAACTCCTTAGAAACAAGGGCGTTATAAGAGATGCTAAGTCCTATAGTAAAGCGAGCGAGGGTATAGCGGAAGGCCTTCTTATCGATAGCGTTCTTAAGGATATTAATCGTCTTCTAAGCCTCTATATCCTCGTTCTTCCGCTAGATAGACAAGAAGTTAAGCTATATCTGTTTCTTGCTATTGTCTTCCTTCTCTTTTATACGACTAACGATAATCTAATGCTTATAGAATAGGTATTTAGCGGCGTTGCTAGATTGTAACTAAAAGCGCTCTAGATCGTTGTCTAAACAGTGTCTATAATAGAACACCTTATAGCGGCTGTTCTTTAGTCTCTTAGGCTCCTTATCCTTTAGAGGCCGCGAATAAGACTATAACTCCGGATCGCGCCTATTGCTCGCTCTTTTCCTTTTTTCTAATAGGGTCGGGGTCGGTATTAGCTATATAGGTATTACTAAGGACGATAATAACTATATAGGAAGGAATAATAGGTTAGGTGTTAGTCGAGGTAGTAGTTAACTTAGTAGCGTAGGATTTAGTACCTCTCCGGCTTTATTATCTTCGAGGTCGCTAAGATCGCTAGAATCTTGTATAAATAGTATCCGTTGTCTATCGTACGTTTCCCGTTGTGTTTCTTAGCTCTTACGGAAGTTTTCTAAGCGCCGCTATAAAGGCTTAGGGTTTTTGCGTGTCTCTACTATAGTAAGGAAATAGTAGAAGTTATAAAAGAATAGAGGTTTAGAAAATTTGAGTTTAATAGTGCTTACTAAGGTTTAAGGCGCGAGCCGAAGCCGCTCGGTTAGTAGACTCCGGAGGCTCCTATTAGGCTTTAAAGACCCTAAATAATACAATTAATAGGAACAGGCAACTAGAACACCGATAATTCCTACTATTCTACTATTCTAATCCTTTATAATACCCTTAATACTACTATTACTACTACTAATATACTCCTTTCCGAGAGCTTTAATAGCTAAGGCATTACGAGTACGTTATATAGCGAGCTCGACCTTTAATTCGCATTCCTCGCCTATACGTAGTATATACGACTAGCAAGTATAGGGGTTACTAAATCTAAAGTGCTTCGCCCTCTCTTCGACCCTCTATATACGCTTACAACAGACCTCGTAGCGACAGTCGGTTAGATATACGGCTATATAGTTGCCCTTCTTGCGGATATAATTATCGAAGGCTTCTTACTTCTTAGTAAAGACGTCGAGCTCGGTATTCTTCGCAATTAGTCGGTGTTCTACGCCTTCGTATTCCTTTAGAATAAGGCGAGACTCTTATAACAACCCTTCTATAACCGTCTACTAAGCCCCTATTTCCTTATACTATTAATCGAGCTAATCCTAACCTTTTACCGTCTTCTTAGGGTTCTAACGAAGCCTCTTAGCAACCGGTTGTTCTTGTTCTTTATTAGAAGCGCTAGATATACTGTTAGCGATAGACGACTTCTCGATAGGCGGCTTATTATCTACTAATTAAGTCTAAGTCTATAGCGGCGGCAGCGGCAGTAGCGATAATAAGGTATCTATAACCTCCGATTTAGGCTCGCTATCCGATAGCTATACGATTAGCTATAGTAGTCGCTAGTATTCGCTATTTACCTACCTCGATTACTTCTATACGCTTCTAACCTATCGTTAGTACGAGATTGTATAAGGAAAGAGGTAGAAATACGATAATTTGTAGGATCTATATACGCCGTAGTATTGCTATTCTCTCCCTAAGAAACACCGAGTAATTAACTAATTATAATTATAATTACATACTTAGCAATTATATTTACAATCAATGTAATTGTAAGTAATTATATAATTAATCCAATTAACAATTAATAACTATACTCCCTTGTTGCTACTAAAGCTAATAAATTGAATTCCGATCTAGTCTAGAGGAAGTTTGTAAGCGACGAGCTTATCTACGACAACTTTGATAGCGTTATAGCCCTATTTATCGTTGCCGCCGTCTAGGATGCCTGTAGTAAAGATATAGATAGAGCACTTTTCAACTTTAGGGAACGGTAACTATTTTCGCTTACTCCTCTCGATACTTCGGCGGTACCGGCGAAGGTAGTCGTCGAAAGTTTAGTTAAGACTTGTCCGACCTCTTCTAATATAGCTAGCAATATAATCTGCTAGGTCCCTCGAGGATTTAAAGTCGCCGCCGGGACTTTTGCTAAGGTAGGCTAGCTCGAGCTTTTTGTTCTAGTCTATGTCTTTTGTAATGTATACTATATACTTAATTAGCTCGACGGCATCGCTCTAGTGCGGCTTTATAGAATTAGAATCGTCGACTATAAATACCTATAATTGCTATTATTATACTACATACCTCGTTATTAGTAATAGTCTTACATAGTCCCGGTCTCTTAGGAAGTCTAGAAGGTTAGGGTGCGGAAGTGTAGCGCTAAGCTTCTTATCTTTCCTAGAGTTGTAATATGCCATGGCCTGATCTCGACTGCACTCTAGAAGCTCCGATTTTGGCTGCTTTTTGTTTTGTGCTCCCGAAGTCATTTGAGCCTCACCTTCGACGGCTCTGCCATGTTTGAGAGCAAGATTTGCCGGGGTGATCAAAGGTGGTGGTCGAGGAGGCGGCGGTTGTGGCGGATGATGTGTAGAAGGTCCAGCGATGACGGGGAGTGTTTGACTATTGAGCCCATGACTTGGTCCCTTCCCGACTTCCTGTAGATCTGCAATACTTGGGAGCATAGGCCCGATATCAAGACCATTAGGATACGGATAGACAGTGTTCGCCCGTGAATGATCTGGACTTTGAAATACTCTACCGGCCTCGTTCAGGACTGTGTGGTGGTCGGTATATGTTGATCCGCCGCTTATCCTGTTGTCAAAAACAGCTGGCGGGTCCGAAGCAGCGGATCCCGGCGATTGAGAGGGCGTTGGATATGGACGTTTCCCATTCGATGGCGGAGTGGGTAAGGCAAACCTCAGATGCTCAGACCTTGCAAGTGCAATCTGCTTCTCAGCTTTTCCAACAAGCTGATCTGCCGACGGGCGTCGAGCAGCGCGATGATCAAGCATCTCTATGATCAAGTTGTCAATAACCTTGCCAGTGATAAAGTCGCGATCCATGAAATGCCGCCGAAGATCATCGTGCTGAATGCCAACAGCTTTCAGCACTCTCTGACCGTCGTGAAAGCAAGCACCGTCTCGGAAGTCAGTCTTAAGGTACGAGTTTTCCAGTCCTCGTTCCCGTCTGTATTGTGATAGCTGCTTTGGACCTTTCACAGCCCATACCACAGCTTCACTGTAAATGCAGCCGAGGGACCATACATCTGTGCTCCGCTTGACGTCGTTTCTCGCGTGCATTGTGTGCTCGGAGATTGCATAGCACTCCGGTGCACCTGGAAAAACGTTAGAGCTTTGAATTAAATGCTCTCGCTTTGGGATTACCGTAGGTTCGAGTTCCAAATGCAGCTTTTACGGAGGCTTCTGGTTCACCTTCCATCACATGCTTGAATCTGGATAGCCCTAAGTCGGCGATTTTGAAAGAGTACGGATAGCTCAACCGGCCGTCGCTGTTGGTAACTAGGATGTTCGCGGGTTTCAGGTCGTGATGCCAGCTCGTAATCGTCAGCTCTGCGTCCACGTTTTTGGCAGCTTCACTTACCCTTGAACATCCGTACGGTTACCATTCGAGTCTGTGCCAAGGAAGTGCTCGTGGATGCTGTACATTGCTCTGGCAGTATCGAACATGCTTTCCCAGAAGTCGATCATCATCTCCCCAGAGGTCGGTGATGAAAATTCATCGAAGAAGTCCTGTAGACTGCCGTGATCTGCATACTCCAGGATTATGTTGAAAGTGTCTCGATACTTGAAGCTGCTGTGGCAAGCAATAAGCCCGACCATATCCCGATTACCGGAATTCGTAACATGCTCAAATGCCAACACTTCACGGGTATATCTCGTAGCTGAGCCAGAGCCTTGGGTCTTGAAAGTTTTCAGGGCATAGCAATGGCTTGCCGGAACTGGGTCAGTCTGCAGTCGTTAGCATATCATCCACCAAGCATGAAAGATTTCGCATACAAGCTTATCGTGCATCTTGTGGACAGTTGCTCGATACACCCACGCGTCATGGCCTTTTCCTTTGAGCTCCAGCCTTTCGAACGGGAGCACGTATTCGTCGAGCAATTCTGCCTGGATTTCGGGATACAGCTCAGGGGCAAAGTACTTCCATTGCTTCTTGTAGAAAGCTTCATAGAAGTCCGGGTCCTTGGTCGATACAGGGAAATTTTTGGGAGCCACTCGAGGCGAGTCGAATGGCAGTCGCCTATCGTGCAAGTTGGGATATCGAACGAACTCAGAAATGAGGTTGGCGCTACCCAACTCAGCCAGGATGCAAAGGATGCGAGGGCATTTTTCAGCCACCGTCTTCTCAATCTTGGTTGGGTTGCCGAAGAAGACATTACGGAGGATGCTCTTCGTTCGGCCGTAAGTGCCTCCGTCGCTCAGGTATTCCTCGACGGCGGCTGCAGGTATGAACTCTCCCCCAGGCTGGACAGCGCCTGTGGTCACATCATGAGACTCGACGGTATTGCGCTTGATCCACTGAAGGAGAGCTTGGAGGTCGCGTTCATGGTCCGGCTGCGATGATCCTGACATTGTTGGCGCCTCATGTGCACTGCCTGGATGCCGAGCGAATCGTCCGTCGTGCTTTCGCTGATTGGTTTAGACGTCTCGTGGCCAGCACCGGCGCCGCAGGTCCAGGAGTGAGGTATGGCTTGCAATTTCTCCGAGCATGTGAACCACGGAATGCGAAGGGTAAGGATGCGTATGCTGTATGCAAGGGGAATGGGCTGTGGGCTGCGGCCGCTTCATTGGTATACCGTATTTTGCCGAAGAGCCTCAGTCTACGCTGTTCTACAAGACGGTCGCCCTCTTCTGTACAAATGTAGGAGCGAAAGTATGTAGACGACGACAAGGACACCATCGGGAGGCAGAGGTGCGAAGCTATGACACGGCACGCACTTCGCTTAGCCTCGAGATCGCGACCGGTGTATTGTAGTATTGGCCGCCCAGCCGCAGCTACGCAAGCCTGCATATGACTACCCGTGATCATGCAGAGCCACATGTGCCCAGTCGGCGCTCCAGCATTATCAATAGCGGCTTGCTCCGCGTAGAAGGCACATCAGCACGATCACTCCACGCTCTCAAGCATCGTCCGACCGGTCTCAACGGCCCTTCGTAGTGCTGGTTGTGGGTATGGAAAATCCTTCACCCGCTTCGATCATGCGTACATCATGAATGTCTTCCTTCGTCCTGTTCTTCTCACGCACATACATGATAGCCCATGCGACGAGCGTGAGGCACATCAATGGTAGGCTGACCAGCAGATATAGCTTTAGAGCACCCGTTCCGATATTTTGTTGAGAGAAGCGAGTTGCACCGTCTGGAAACTTTACGATCGGGGTGCTCATCAGTGTCTATCAAACGTCAGTGCGTGCCCATGCCCCAGCGAGGAACGACATACCGAGATGAATGTTCCGGGAAGGAATAGAAGTGTTACGACCGTGATAATGCGCATGGAGACCGTCTCGACCAAAGTCTTTCGAGCAATTCGGTGCATCTGTACAGTAACACCTTCCATGTTGATGGTAGAGTGGTGAGTCCGCTCTGCGAGCGCGCGGGACAATTGCATGCTTCGGAACTGCAATGCACCTTGTAGCTGCACTGCGTCAGATTTATCCGGTCATTTGTCAATCACGCTGCCAAACTTACCAGAGATTTACGGTCTGCACACATTTTCAGCAGCGCCTCAAGTCGCGACTGATGCATGATCAGGTCTTGCACCGTTCCAGCAAGCTGCCTTTGAAACTCTTCGATTGCGAATATGCTTTCGTCCACAACTGGGACTGCCGCACCGCGTGCGTCGAGTAAGGATCCATATGCTTTGGACAGCTCTCCAATCACCCTGGAATTATTCTTCAGTACGAGGTGTGCTTCGTTCACCTGCTCTTCCATCTTTTGGAGACGTTGCAGATCGACGAAAGAGAAGCTGTCGATCGCAGCGACTACGGGCAAAGCAGGACTCTCGATTGGTATTGGCTCAAGCACCAAGCTTGCCTCGCTGGCAACCAAGGTGGAGTCGTCTCGTGACGTGGTGAAAGACGTTACACGTCGGAATGGTCGTCCAAGAGATTGCAAAGTTGTACTTCGTTTGGGGGGTCCTTTGCCCGGAGGAGAGGGAATAAAGCCAGAATTGCTACTCCTGGCCTCCTCGAGAGAAATCGTCAAAAGGCGTCGGGATTTGTCTTGGAGCAAAGTTTCCAGATCACGGATATACCAATGCCAGTTCTCGCTGGCCCATAGAGTAACGATCTGATGTAGTATTATAGTCGCTATAATCGAACTATATCCGGGTATTGCTTATCGACCCGTAGATACCGAAATTATGTTTTTTATCTTTTAGAGTTCGCGGTAAAACGCTTTTTATAGGACCTTGTTTGCCTTTAGTACTATCTAAGTCGATTGCTTAGAAGCAAAGTCGAATCGATAATATATTAAGTATTAACGTATCGACTGTTGTAGATAAGCGGTAAACCGATAGAATTGCTTGCTATTCGAACAAAGGACTCACTAGCTACTTATATACCCTAGCGCCAAGAATCACAAGCTATTACTAAGCCGTAAGTGAATGACCTCGCAACTTCCTTCTCCTTCTCTTGCTTATAAATCTAACTAGACTCGTACATTCCCGAGTATTCTAACACTCCCTCTACTTAGCTATTTAGCCGTAAACCAAATAGCTAAGTCCTAATCCTTCTTAATCGTTTTTATTGTCCCTAGGACTCTTTTTACGTTTTCTTCGAACTTCCCTTTTGTTAGGGGCTTAGTAAGGAAGTCCGCGAGTTAGTCCTTTGTCGGAATATACTTTATATCGACTAGCTTGTCCTCGACTAGTTCTCGTACGTAATGTGCCGCTACGTCGATATGTTTCGTTCTAGAATGAAATTCCGGATTTCGTACTAAAGCGATAGCCGCCTTATTGTCCCCGTAGATAATCGTAGGTTCTTTATAGTCGTCTTCCGTAAGGTATCCGACTTGCTCGAGGAAATTTCGGATCTAAATAGCTTCTTTTGCGGCGTAGGATAGCGCTAAGTATTCGGCTTCCGTAGTACTAGTCGTTACGGACCTTTGTAGTTTAGTAGACTAAGATATAGGTCCTCCGGCTAGTAGGGATATATATCCCATCGTTGACTTCCTAGTTGAGTCCGCCGCGTAATCCGAATCGGTATAGATAACCGGTAGACGAGTAACTAGAGTACTCGTATTGTTTTCGTTCTTCGGGATAGGACTATACTTTATATAGTAGTCCCGAGTGTTCCCTAGGTATCTAAGGCCGTAGATACCTCCGTCGTAGTGTCTCCTAGCCGGATTTACCGTAGATTGGCTTAGTCTCTGCGTTAGAAAAGATATATCCGGCCTCGTAGCTCGTACGGTCCAATTTAGTTTTCCGATAAGTCGTTAGTATCTCCGGACGTCTACTACCTCCTCGTCCTTTGTTATAGGTAGTAAATTCGTATATCCGTTTGCCGGAGTCGATACTCGGAAGGTTTCGTCTAGATCTAAGCCCTCTTCTCTAAGCGTATTTTCGATATAGTGCCTTTGATCTAGTAGTATAGATCCGTCGGCCTCTCTCTCGATTCGTACGCCTAGTATAAACTTAGCGGGACCTAGATCCTTCATTTCGAACCTCTGTATAAGCCCGTCCTTTAGCGGTTTAACCTCCGCCTCTGTCTTCGCTAGTATAATAAGATCGTCGACGTATAACGCGACTATTAGCGTATAGTCGCTATTAACGAAGACCGATTGATCCGCGGGTATAGCGTAGAGGTCGTATTCTTCAAAGAAGGCCGTAATAGTCTTATTCCAAACCCGTCCGGATTGTTTTAGTCCCGGTACTCCTTTTAGGAGTTTAAGTACTTTATTAGTTCCGGGAACATCTAGGCCTTCCGGGATAGCTAGGTAGACTTCCTCCGTTAGTTCTCCTAGTAGGTAGGCACTTACTACGTCTATTTGGAATATAGCAAGTCCTTTACTAGCGGCGATAGCTAGGAGAAGGCGTAGGCTTTCGAGACGTATTACCGGAGAAAACGTCTCAAAGTAATCGATTCCGTAGCGTTGCGTAAAGCCCTTTCCTACTAATCTCGCCTTAAATTTATCGATTTGTCCGTTCGGTAGTATTTTTACTTTAAAAACCCATTTCGGAGTAATAACGTTTGTTTGCCCTTTTCCGTCCTTCGGCTTAGGATAGTCGACAATCTCGTAGGTATTGTTAGCCGTTAAGGACTCGATGTGTTCTTTAATAGCGTCTTTCTACTGTCGGGAGTAAGGGCCGATAATAGCCTCCGTATAGGTCTCGGGGGTAGGTATTTCGAAAGCCTTTCGATAGTCGACTTTTAGAGCTGCTAGCCCTATTTCGTCCCTTAGTCTCTTAGGTGCTTTAGGGACCCTCGTAGACCTTCGTAGTTCCCCTTCGTTTAAATCCGTAGTAGTAGAAGCCGTAGGAGTAGTAGACCTTTCGTCGTCGTTTTTATTTAAACCGTCTTCTTCGTCTTGCGGTTTCGTAGTATTATCTTCGGCTTCGGAGTCTCCCTCTACTTCCTCTACTTCTCGAGACTCTCCTTTATCTAGGATATCGATATCTCCGTCGTCGTTGTCCGTAATAGGCCGTAGGGTAGGTAGCTCTTCTCCGGATAGTAGGCTACTTCCCTTAGTCGATTCGTCGAATTTAACGCTAGTATAGATCCCGATAGCGTCCGTCTTAGGATTATAGATCCTATACTGTTTCGTAGACTTCGTATATCCGACGAAGATTCCCGGGAATGCCGTCTTTTCTAGCTTGTCTTTCCTTTTCTCTTTAGGAATAAACGGATAGGCTAGGCAGCCGAATACCCGTAAGTGTTCTCCGCTAGGCTTTCTTCCGGTATAGAGCTCCTCGGGAGTTATATCTTTTCCTTTAATAGGTAGCCTATTATGTAAATAGGTAACCGTATAGGCCGCTTCGCCCCAAAATCGTTTAGGTAATCCGGACCCTTCTAAAGCTGCCCGTACCTTAGTTATAATAGTACGGTTTTGTCTCTCTGCTACTCCGTTTTGTTCCGGAGTATAGGGCGTCGTTGTTTCGATTCGTAGTCCCGAATAGGCCTTAAGAGCTTTAATAAGCTCCGGAGCGTTGTCGATTCTTACGGCCTTTAGTTTTCTCCCGGTTTCGAGTTCGGCCTCGTTTTTCCAAGCCTTAAAGGCTTCGTATACGTCGCTTCTATAGCGAGTAAGACGGATATCTAACCGTCTCGTAGCGTCGTCCGTAATCGTTAGTATATACCTGTTTCCTCCTAAGGTACTATACTTATACGGACCCTAAAAATCGATATATACCCTATCTAGGCAATAGTCTGCCTTTTCGGGTTCTTCTCGACTTTGTCGTCTATCGGACTTCGTAGTAATACAAGTCTCGCAAGACTTATTTAACGTCGAAAGCTCCGGGACTCCTAGTAGTACTTTATGTACGTTTCGTTGTTTTTCGTCTCCCGGATGTCCTAGGCGTCGGTACCAAAGTAGCGTAGTACCTTTAGTCGTAGTAGTAGCTATTCTCGAAGTCCCGATAGACTCGGATTCCTTTAGAACGTAGGACCTTCCGACGCGTACTCCTTTTGCTAGTTCTTCGTTTCCTCTTCGAAGTATAGCCCCTTCTTTAGTAAATAGAGTCGTAATACCTCGTTCCGAGAGTTGGCTTATCGAAAGCAGGTTATAACCGATCTCCGGTACGTATATAACGTCCGGAATCGTAGTCGGAATTCCCTTAAACCGGACGAGGATTGTACCGGATCCCGCGACCTTTATTGTTTTACCGTTCGCTAGAGTAACTTTTCCGGTTATTTCCTTATAGTCCGTAAAGTAGTTCTTGTCGTTAGACATATGTCTAGTGCATCCGGAGTCTAGGATCCAATCCCTCTTATTAGATAGTCGAGTCGTAGAATCGATAGCTGTCTAAGCCGCGATCTTTGATTCCTCCTTATTATTCTCTTAGATTTTTCCGTTCTTTTGGTCCCATTTATACTTCCTGCAGTCCCGTTTAAAGTGCCCGACCTTTTGGCAATAGTAACACGTCTTTCCTTTAGCTTTGTTAGGCGTATTAGTCGTATTGCCCTTCTTTCCGTTACCGGCCTTATCTTTCGCTGCTTCCTTAGTATATCGGGCTACTACTTCGTCGCCTTTAGAAGTAGTAATAGTATATTCAACGTCCCGTAGTCGCTGAACTAGTTCCTCGTAGGAAAGAGTAGATAAACCGGCCGCCTTTAAGGCGAATACGGTAGACGAATACTCTTCTCCTAAGGACGAAATAAGGACTGCCTTCTTAGAGGCCTCCGAGGGAACTTCGTCTTTATCCGCGGCCTTAATCTCGGATTGGATTTGCGTAAGAGCTGAAGCCGTAGTATCGATATCCTTAAGTGCTTTAAAGGAATAGAAACGGGAGAGTAGCGTCGAAACCCGTTCCTTTGTCGATACCTCGCTTACTTCCTTTATCTTATCGATTACCTCCTTAGTCGTACGTAGTCCTAGGAGGTGTATACGCTTATCCCCGGCCGTAGACTTAATAAACGCAACCGCTTTTGCGTCTTCTTCTTTAGCCTCTCTTGCTTTAGCCGTATCTTAGCTTATAGATTCCGGTATACCGTACCTATACCTCCAAAGGCCTTGTCCGGATAGATAGTCTTGAATTAGATCGATCCAGATAGTATAATTCTCGGTAGTAAGTTGCGGAATTCCCTTTACCGCGCCGATAGTCGTCTCGGTAGTAGACATCTTTATCGTTAGATTTCTCGACTCGTAACGGTCGTATCGTTGATATTTTTAGATCGTTTAATTCGTATTAATCGGTTCTTTTCGCCTATAGACCGGCGTCTATAGCGGAGCAATAACCGTTATCTTATTGTTGTTCGAAGTTGGTCGCTTTCTTCGATTTACGGAGTGACGTCGGATAAGGTTTAACCTTGCGCAAGCGGGTTGCCTGATCGGGTAATTTCTCGAACTTTCTTGTTTCTTCACTTGCGTTCCGGGCTTATAACTGTTATAGATAAGCGGTAAACCGATAGAATTGCTTGCTATTCGAACAAAGGACTCACTAGCTACTTATATACCCTAGCGCTAAGAATCACAAGCTATTACTAAGCCGTAAGTGAATAACCTCGCAACTTCCTTCTCCTTCTCTTGCTTATAAATCCAACTAGACTCGTACATTCCCGAGTATTCTAACATCGACTAGGGCTGTCGCTTATCGTTTATAGCCTCGATTAACTTTAGGTTATAGTAGAGATCGATATGTCTTCCGCTTCTACCTAGTATAGGACATTCGAGCCTAGTTTGCGGCGATTTAAGGTAGATCTCGCTACGGAACCTACTAAAATAAAGATCCTAGACGTAGTACTAGTTACTAAACGGGAATACGAATTCGAGGAATGTAGGAGGCACTTATTAATATATAAGAATTTCTAGAAGCATTTGCTAGCTAATATCGAGAGGTATACGTAAGTATTAAGCTCCGATAAATCTAACAAGTATAGTATTAGCCGAGAGAAGACTTATCGGGGGAGAGATACTAATAAAAGTCTCTAAAGAGGATCCTATCGGTATACTATAATTAATCGTATAAGATGCGCTTTCGTAATGCTTAAGTCCTTTAAGGAGACCTTATAATATTCTATAAAGATTAGTTCTTAGCTTTAAGAGAAGAAGTAGGCAGATCGTACCCTAGTTACCGTTCTATAGCTCTAGTAAATTAACAGATAGGCTAGTACTAAAAAGGTCCGTCGCCCTCCTATCTAACTAGTTCCTTATTGCTCGTAAGGTATAGTTATACATATCTATGCTACAGTTGTTGCCCGGATACTAATTAGCGTAGAGGATAGCATTCTCTAGAAACTTTAAGCAATCTATATCTTAGAGGATATTTAGAGTCTATAGAACAGTGTGTATAGAAGGTGAGCATACCCAAGTTTATTTATTCGTGTAAGCACTGCTGGCGGCGTATAAGAGCGATTATGATAGTGTTCTCAGAGAGCCCCGCAGCTTTGGGTAGCTAAGCATTTCATACGCAGCCGACTATATATTAGCTCCCTCCCGCACGAGCATAGCGCCCATATGCAGCTTGGGAGGCAGAATGAACACTGTGTCGCCCTGCTGCGGCACTCCAACTCGGTTCAAAAATGACCCTAGTGCAACGCGAACGGACGGTTCGATTGCCTTAGTCACCTCGGCCGTCAGTACCTTGCGCGCCCGTACTACTCCGAGTCGGGATGACGGAGGCTGTTGATCTCTTGCACCAATTCGTGCTGTTCAAAGTAAGCAGACGTACGCCGTGCGCGCTGAGATCTGTACATACTGGCTGCAGCTGCCTCGGAACTTGAAACTTGTAAGAATCGACGTCGAACTAGAAATGGTGCTCAGCGCGACGACGGCAGGAGAAGCAGGGTTCGCCACAGCTCAATCGCAAAGCCGCGTCGACCGTACTCGCGTTCGGGAAACTTGCGCCTCAAGTACTGTTCCAGGACTGATTGGCGTAGACGATAGGCGGCCACAGCCTCTTGAACCCATGGTCTGCTCGGCTGCTGGTTTCGAATGGCGAAACGACGGCCGTCTTGAAGAAGGTATTGTTGCGTGGCACGGTCGAAGTAGCACCACTGCCCGAACTGCTGATGCCACTGCCACTGGGACGGACCAGAGCCCGACATCGTGCGCAGATAAGTGAGTCCGAGCGCGCGGCTTTCGTTGTTCGACGAGACCTGAGGCGGGGTTTAGGCGCGGTCCAGCGGCATGGATGGCATGACTTCGCCAGCCTTATATGAGATGCACGCCGCAGCGCGTAGGTAGGCATTTCGAAGGCAGCTCGGAGGGCGATGCACGCGCAGACGGTCTGCCTTCACCGGTCACGCGTTTCATCGCCATTGGCCGCCATCTGGCTCAGGACAACGCATCACTGCCCACGGCCACAGCAGGATAGGGCCATAGTAACCACTACTCAGGGGAGGCAGGCGAAATTGTTCGGAATGAATCGAACGAAGTTATATATGTATGCGGCGTCGCCACTCGCCAACCCTATTCTAACGCATGTGATGCATGCCAAGCTTTCGCGGCCCGCAAATGACTCTTGCTGTTCTCCACGACGACAAAGCTGTCCTGCATCGCGTGCAACTGAACATGTAGAAGCACACTCGAAGTCGCAGCACGCGCGCGCTGCCCCAACTCCACCCAGCAGTAATAATGCCATCCTCACGCCCAACAAGCACACATGGAGACGACCAGCCCTTCGACGTCGTCTCAACCTACAAACGCCTCCTCCTCGAAGACCCCGACCTCACAATGCCCGTAGCAGCAATCGAAGCCCTGATCCTCGGCCTCGCGCAAACCCCCGCAACAACCGTCAGCGAAACCCTCCACCTCATCCAAACCCTCACCGCACAACTGAAACACCGCATCCCCAACTCCATCTCCCTCTCCGCCGGCACCGACATCTTCCAACAATACCTAATCACCAACCTCCAACGCCCCGCCGCCGGCGCCCGAGACTTCGACCAAGTCCGCAACCACCTCGTGCAAAACGGCCGGCTCTTCGTCGACCGCGCCAAAGCCGCCCGCGCTACAATCGCCTCCTTCGGCCGCCACTTCATCAACGACGGAAACGTCATCCTCACCAACGGCGGCAGCCGCGTCGTCGGCGCCCTGTTGAAATCCGCCGCCGAAAGCCCGAATCTCCGCTTCAAAGTCATCTACATCATCACCAACTCCAACTCCGATTCCGAATCCACCTCCAACATCGCCGCCCTCCGCGCCCGCGACATCCCCGTCGCCACCATCCCTCCCACCGCCATCGCCTTCTGTCTCGACCAGGTCACGCAATGTTTCGTCGGGGCGGAAGGCGTCGTGGAAAACGGGGGCGTCATTTCCAGATTGGGAACGTATCAGATGGGGATTTTGGCGAAAGCGGGGAAAAAACCGTTTTATGTGGTGAGTGAGAGTCATAAGTTTGTGAGGGTGTTTCCGTTGGGACAGAGGGATTTGGGGATTGGGCAGGGGGTGGTGGAGTTTCGGACTTCTTCGAGTACTACTGCGAGGGGGGAGGAGGGGAAGGGGTCGAGGGAGGATGAGGGGGTGGAGGATATGGAGTTGTCGAGAGGGCGGGGTGGGGAATGGAGGATCGAGGAGGCGGTGGATTATACGCCGCCGGATTTGATCAGTGGGATTATTACCGAGTCTGGGGTTTTGTTGCCGAGTGCGGTGAGTGAGGAGTTGATTAAGATTTGGTTTTGAAGAGGAGGGAGAGAGATGGATGGATACAAGTTGTACGGAGAGAGAGAGGAGTTCGGCGAGAAGAAAGCAGAAACGTACGTGAGCAGCGGCTGCATCAAATGGCGAAAGAAAGAACCTGCTGCAGGTCTTGGGGCATACATCGAAAGCAAGCAGAGGCTTCTCGTTTCAGAAGCATGGATGAAAAGCAGAGAGAAAGATAGAAAAAGACGAGACGAGAGACAGCATCGCGTCTTCTCTTCATACCCACGACGCGAAAACTTGAGCTGAGCTGAGCTAAGCTCGCCTCTCCCACAGAGCATACATATAGCCACAGAAGCGTGAAACATTCGCTTCAGCCATCAATCATCAACAATCGAAACAAAAAAAAAGTAACACATCCACCCTCCACCCATTCCTTCCTTCCTTCCTTCTTCATGCTTCTTTCTCCTCCTCTCCCGAAAGTTTTGTAAAAAGAAAAAGTTCAAAATCGTATCGCGTCAATCATACTTCATTCCATTTCCACGCACACGCACATACTCGCACGCAATAATCAGGCCACAGGACAGTATACAATTCCTTGCATCATCCAGCAGCTCTCATTCATCATCCAACTCCGCCAACTCCCTCTCATTCTCCTCCAGGGCGCGCCTCATCATCTCCGCCTTCCGCCTCAACTCCGCCTTCCGATCCTCCTTACTCGGCAGCCCAGGATGATCCAAAACATTCTCGGTCCCCGAATTCTGAGGATGAGGATAATAAGGTCCCTCTGCTTCGGAGAAGGTGCGTTTCTTGCCATCTCCCACGTCATCGCGATGCCGGAACGCTTCGGTGAAGTCGACCGGGATAGGAGCTCCGGGCCGATCGGGAGTGGCGCGGTGATCGGAGGGTCCGGAGTGGTCGCTCATGGCGTCGTTGTAGGTGGGGTCTGTTTGATTGATGGCAGATTGATGGGCGGGGACGACGCGTTTGCGGCGTTTGATTTCGGCTTTTTTCATTTGTACGGGGCGGTGGGAGCCGTGGAGTTTGTGGTAGAGGCCGCAGGCGTTGCAGATGGTATGGCCTTGCTCGTCTCGTCGCCACAGGGGTGTGATGGTGGTTCCGCAGTTTTGGCAGGCGACGACGACGTTTTGTGGTTGCGGGGTTTGAGGGGTGGGTTGATGTACTACTGTTCGCAGGTATGCGGATTCGTTGGGTTCTGAGCGGAGAGCGACTTGGGCGGTTTTTGCGATTCGGTTGTTGTAGGCTGGACAGCCGTTGCATGCTTCTTGGCCGCCGGTGCCGTTGCAGCGTCCGCCACCAGGACATGTGCCGTTCACGCTTTGATCGGCAGAGACATAAGTGGCACCGCCGTGGATGGAAGATGTTGAGGGTGAGGTTTGTCTGTCGTGGGATTGGCCTCCTTCCTGAGATGAAGCCACAGAGCCTCGCTTCAGGCCAACAGGTCGCATTTGGTTGCGGGCTTTGTAGTAGAGACCGCATGCATTGCAGATGACAGCACCTGCGGGGGATCTTCTCCAGAGCGGTGTCTTGGTTGTTCCACAATTGCTGCACAATGTCAGAACATATCTCATCAACATCATGATACATCTTACCTGCACATTTGAGCCCCTGGCGCACTGCTGCTTGGCGGTGAGGGCCGCTCGGGATTGAGCGTTGGCGTGACGGTGGAGGGTTGAGGGGAGCTCTGAGCATGCCGCGCAATGGTGTAGGTATCGCGATATACAGGTGCACTTGATGGAGAGGGCTGTGCGTGACTGCTCGAAGTACTCGGGGCAGGATCTCGCACGGGAGCATGCGATGCGCTGGCCTGGGAGTGCTCGAGCAGCTGACGAGCGGCTTCGACCTCCTGCTGGGAATGCTCTCGCTGAAGTCCAAGGACAGACATGGTCGGTGACAGTGGTTTGGGTCTTGAGGGAGGAGCTGGACTTTCTCCGTGCGAAGTTGCCATTGTTACTTCAGCGGTTGCACTGCTTTGGTACCGTTACCGCCGCATGGGGTGTCCCGGTCGTGGCGTGGCGTGGTGTGGTTGAACGACGGGCGCACGAGTTCCCAGGTGTGGTGGATGGGGGGTGCGGAGTCTATCTGATGGGGTTCGATCTGATAATATTTCGATCACACCTCACCTCGCCGTCCTTCCTGCGGCAGTGCGGCGATCTCTGGCTGGAATGAATCCCGAGTAAGAGCCAGGCAGGCGTGAAAGGGGAGGCGAGGCGTAGGCGGTGAACAGTGCTGCTTTCCAGTCCGGAGAGCGTGTCATCCAGGCTGGTCCAGTGTGCAGGCGTAGAACTAATCGTTCGCTGAGTCTTTCTCGATGATCTGACCGAGAGACGATGCGTGTCACCGGCGCACGGCAAGTCGTCGAGAGGTCAGTCTAAGCCGGGAGAGGTAAGCAGATATGCATGCAATTTTAGTTACTTACCACTGCAATCTCGCTGATTGGTCCGCCCTTTTTCTGAACACTATCGGGTCGGTGACATCGACACGCCGGCTATGGCTCCTATACGCACTTCAATGCCAACCACACACGACGATTTCTGCAAGCAAGCCTCCCTCGCTCCACTCACGCTTCCTGCACTCCCACGGCACTCGGATGCAGCGACAACGAATATGCAGGTGACAGGTCGCAGTGGGAGATGTACATACCGGGAGCAGACAGGCTCACTGTACAGGACTATCCACAGTTACACCGAGCCATTCCAAGAAAATCTAGATAATCGGTCTCCGTTGATCATCGTTCTCGATCATCTCCAGGCCTCCTTACTGGCCACACCAACTCCATTTCCCGTCTCGCCTTCGAGAATGCCACCCGTCCTGCCGACTTCAGTCCGGTCAAGACGAACGATTCGTTTCCCTCCAGAACGATGAAAGAAGAACACGACCTACGAGCACATAAGAGCAGAGACTACCTCCTCGCAACGAGTCGGAGCCGACAGACCTCGTCAGCACACAAGCGAATTCGAGGACGTGCAACTCGATCTCCCTGCGACCTTGGATTAAGGCGCTTTCTCACACAAAAATCCAGACACGCACTCCGACCGAGCCGAGCGAAAGTCGTGCGTGCTTATGAAAGAGCTAGCATCTCCCAAAAAATCTCCAACATCAATCCCTCCGCGAAGATCTACTTGAAAGGCTAGAAGGACCAAGTGTTGAGTGCGCTTAGGCCGATCGGGATCACCCGTGGTCAAAACAGCTCCGAAGTCTGAGTAGTGGGAGGATTTTGGTTCTTCCTTCGATTTCCGGTTGATGGAACGAAAGAGCGGCACAGTTCCATTGAGCGTAGCCTAGGGGATGATAGGGGTCGATTAGAAGTGTGAGAAGGTGCGGGGGGTATACGGTTCGAACGCGTCCATGAAGTAAGTACGAAGAGGGAAGGGAGTTTTCGAAGCAAAACATTCGTTGCGTTCCGAGAAACGGTGACTTGACGCTGGTTACCAGTAGACGGAAGCTTTCCCGTCGTCTTTAAGAGGTACTACTTTGAAGTCGCCTGTGCGTTGGAGGTCGAGCGTGTCGAGGAGGCCCGTATCTGGAGCTTGTTTTTCGTCATCGATACCATGGTTGCTGGTAGGATTGCGTTTTGGGCTGAATGGCAAGCCAACCGAGACTCTCATTGCAAGAAGTGGTCGCGTTCTGGCGCATTACGTGACGATGTGCGTATTCCACTGTGTCGCATACTACCATCCGCAAGTCTCGGTATCCTGGTTCAGCGTAGAGTACCCCCCTTCGCAGCTCAATCCGAATCATGTGGCGTAGTGAAGGCCTAGCCTGGTGCCTGTGTCCTCCGTCAGCTTGTTGGATCCAGATCACACCTCACCCCATCTTGTCACGGGAACCGGATATAGTACTGCTTGAGCAAGACTGGCGCGTTCCATATGCTAACGTTCAAAGTTCATTGCACTATACATGCTCTCTTTGCGCCTCTACGCCTTCGCTTGTCTAATCGCAGGCTCGTCGTCGATCGATCAATGCAGTTCGCTTTCCAGCTGCAAACCGCTCGCTATCGCTCGTTGTATATCGTCTGCTTCTCCATTTGTGGGTCTGAACTCGTGCGAAAGCTTGCCATACAAGTGCAAAGCGTGTTCCACTCTCTAACCCCATCATGGACTCCTCGAAGCCCAGATCATTTCTGTTGGTCTCCGTGTCATTGTCTAGACTTGCTCAGCGCCCCAGCCCGCATCAGCGTCTCTGCAAAGCTTGTCAGCCAATCCTCCGTGCCGATGCGATAGTTCTCTCACCTCATATTAGCCGGGGGCTCAATGTTGGGCATGAACTCCATTGCAACGTATGCGATTCCAGCAAAGGTGATGAGAGCGCCGGAGAGGTACTTCCACCAGTTGTCACCCATTATTATGCAACCCACGAAGATGTAGACTATCTCCCATTAGCTTCCAGCCCCTGCCTCGTTGTTCCTGCGCATCTCTTACAAACTCCGCGGCCGATGAAGGAGAACATGAACGAGGCATATCGGGCGACTTGAGGTGGGATCTGGAATTCTGCGCCAATCGTAAGCAGGTCGCATTCGTCAGGCAGGCCTGGAAGAGGTTTATACCGAGCGCAGCGGTGGCTGTAGATCAATGGGTCAGCACGATTCACAGATCATGGACTCGCGCCTCGATGCATACCAAGACCAAAGATCCAGACATATACCGCAATAATGACACTTTGCCTGTTTCTGCCATCAATTCCTGTCTGTCCCCAGGACTTCGATTCGGCACCTCTTACACGTTGATGCTTGGCCAGAATTGTCCAATCCCGCCCAATATCATCAACACACCCACGACCAGGTTAACGATTCGACTGTTTCGTTGTTAGCTGGAGGCCAGGCCAGGCCAGGCGCATAGCTACTGACAAGACATCGGAGAAGTCCATCTTGATTGACGTTGGCGCTCAAATGGGGTCGGAGGTGGTAGTGGAGGTGATTATTTGCGTCGGGAGACGTTGGTACGGAGCAAAGGGAAATGGTTTGTGTTGGGTGATTATTGAGAAGAGAACAAAACACGGCCGAGGGCTCGTGGAGCTCACACCTGAGAGGCTGGGAAGCTCCTGCGAACCGTGCGCGCGTGGCCGACGTCACCCACCCGTGAACTGCCACGCGCCCGCCAATACAATACAATACAACCACGCGGCCAGCACTCATCACTCGCAGTCTGTGCCACGGAGGTACCGGTAGAGCACTTGCAATACTGAAGCACATGCAGAATCTTGGCGACATTCTCTCCACTCGATCTATAGCTTCGCCTTCTGCTGCAGTGCCTCATTCGCAAGCGTAGCAGCCGCTTGGCAGACACCCCAACTCGTCTGGTACCCATAGCCAGCATGCCCATAATTGTGCACCACGTTCACCTTCCTCCCATCCCTTCCAGCAATAGCCTCCTTCTCAACTCTAATACCACCGTCTCGCATCGGTCTGAGTCCAACACCGTGTCGAATCACACTCAAGCCTTCAATACCTGCTCCTTCAGGCACCAGCTGCGGACATAATTCGACAGCACGCTTCATAATCCTAGTAGCCAGATTCGGATCAGGCTGAGATTCCCAATTGCCCTTCTGTAAACATCCTCCAAGGATGGTGCCGCCACCTGCTGCTCGTTGCATGATGTACACTGCTTCATCGGGTCCATCGTCTGTGCCGGATGTCGACGCCATCACCCCGGCTTCGTTCCGCACTAGCACAATCTGTCCTCGAGCGGGATACATCTTCGTGTCTGCTACACCCTCGAGCGTCAGAGACCCCAGACCTGTGGCATTCACAACAACATCAGCCGTCTTCCCGGTGTGATGAAGTTTCGCTGCATCCGCAACGTGGCCTGCAATTCCACGCTTCATCACAGCACCAAGCTTGAGGAGTTCCGAGACCAGCCAAGGTAAGTATATGGCCGGGTTAATGCACACCGATGTGAACGCCGTCCCACCCTCAATGCCCTTTGGCAGATCAGATGTAGGAAGAACTCTGAACTGCATGCGGGCATCAGTATTGATCTCCCCAACGCTGCCAAACACTTCACTCACATTAGGCACAACATTACTAAACCACGCATCTTCCCTCAACAGCTCTTTGAACCAATCCCCAACCGGCGTCCCAACATCTTTCGCTCTTCGGTAGACGTACGTCTCTGTTGCATATCAGTATATGCCCAATTCGCGCGCGCTCTCTCTCTCTAACACTTCTCGCCTAAGTAGGAAAGAGCGTAGTAAACACATACCTTGAAAATGTATCCCCGCCTCCGGAACATGCCTCGCCAATCTCTCCAACTCAGGCCAAGTATTTTCCTCATACCTCGCAAATTCCGTTCCCTTGACAGACACACTTTTGTGGTTCGAGAAAATCAGCGACGGAACAACATCTCATAACATAAACCAAAAGAGGGGGAAAAACCCCCTCCCATCACAACCCCCACACACACACTCTCTCTCTCTCTTTCTTTTTGGCAGAACTATATTGTAAACACTTACGGCAAATAATTCGCCCCCGCCCAAGGACTCGCATACTCGATATCGTAATCTCCCGGCATATGTTTAGCGACGACGGTGATTTTATGGCCTTGACGAGCGAGGATCAAGGCGGTTGTGAGGCCTGTGACTCCGGCTCTTTGCTCTATTAGTACTTGTTGAAGGAGATTCGTTGGGATGTGACGTACGTACCCGAGGACGACGATGTCAGAGGACATTTCGAGAAGAATGATGGTGGGGGAGAGGGGATGTGGAGGGAGGAGGATATGTGATGGTGGATAGAATAGAATGTTGAGGGAGAGTCGGTTGGTCCGCACGCCCTACGGGTGTTACTGGGTGTATTATGGGTCCTGCGATAGGCCAGATAAAGATCAATCGGCCGGCTTGCATGAGCTCACGAAGTTTGTGATGCAATGGACGGACTTGGGATATGGGAGTGGGCTGTACTAAAGATGCGCGGTGAAGGATCGGGCAATACTGCTTAGTAACCGATGTGGTATGCTCAATGTTCCATGCATTCGTCGCCTCTGGTCTGGGCGCCGCCAAGACTCCTACGCTCGACGGAAAGCTTTCCTCCTTCGACTTCATCCTTTCGTCGCCCATACAGTACAGCCTCACTGGAAGTAAAAGCGCTACTCCCGATACAGCTGAAAAGAGGCTGGGCTCATTTCATTGCATATATTTGATGACTTCACCTCCGAATCTGTGCTCAATCAGCTCTCCCCGATGGCCGACTTCGACCGCTTGCTCTCCGAGTACACCAACAAGGCAGAGCCAGTCGTCCATGGTGTGCTGACGAAATGTGTCGACAAGAATGGTTGCTCGCTCCTTTACGAACCACGAAAAGACTGGCTGACGTTCTACGCAGGAAAGGAAATCTACAGCAAAACCGTAGGCTGGGATTCCATTGAATCTGACGCCCAACCTTTGCGTGAAGATGCTGTGCTCAAGATGGCCAGCGCCACCAAGCTCGTGACGAGCATAGCGATTCTTCAATGTATCGAGCGAGGTCTGATCGCCCTCGATGAGCCAGTCACCCGCGTGCTTCCCGAGCTCGACAACCGGAACATCATCTCCAAAACGGAGGCCGGAGAGCTAGAGTACACTCCGGCATCGAAAGCCATCACACCTCGACACCTCTTATCGCACATGTCCGGCATGGCTTATCCCTTTCTCAGCCCTCTGCTTACGGCCTGGGAGGCTACCGGTGCGAAAACTTCTTCCAACAAGATCGCCGAGAAAATGTGCTACCCTCTTCTCTTCGAGCCCGGAGAAGGTTGGGTTTACGGCGTTGGTCTAGACTGGGCAGGACTTGCCGTAGCACGTCTCAACAACACAACACTGGAGAATTACATGATTGAGAACATCTGGAAACGTGTTGGCCGCTCGCCTCCTTTCCCGACCTTTCATGTGTCTCACCACCCAGAATACAAAGCCCGCTTGATGAAAGCCGCGCAGAGAAAATCTTCCCGCAAACTAGAGCCTTGGGACTATGCTTACGGCGACAATGACGAAGACGAGGAAGGCGGCCACGGATTGGTCTTGACCATGGCAGACTACACCGCTGTCCTAGCGGATCTGCTTTCCGACTCCCCCAAACTGCTCAACCCTTCCACAATCGACATGATGTTCGAACCGCAGCTCGCAAAAGACTCGCCAGGGATTCCAATGCTGATGCAACTCAAACCAGCTTGGGACATGGTCGCGGGGCCCGTGAAAGAAGAGTACGTCAATCACGGTCTCGGAGGACTGCTTGTTCACGGCGGCGAGACTCCTGAGATCGGTCAACCAGCCAATATCCTGTGCTGGGGAGGCGCATCTAATATCGTATGGTGGATTTGCAGAGAGAAGGGTGTGGCAGGCTTCTTTGCTACGCAGATTCATCCTTTCTCGGACAGCAAGGTTAAGCAGCTTGTCAATGCTTGGAAGAAGGATTTTTGGTCTAACTATCTGGGCTGAGATCGATTATACGATACTTGCTCGCGCACTCATTCGCTTTTTGAATATCTTTCCGGCTGCTTCCTCAGCAATGGCGCAGCCTGCATTCGGAATGCCTGTGTTGCTCGCCTATCACTCGGCGCTTACGGGTGTGGCGGAACATCGACCTTTCTACTGCAACATCATCACTTCTTCTCCCAAGCAAACCTCTCAGATGATTCCTCAAGAAATCCGCGGCGGATTTATGCAGCAGCATTCCAAGCCGGTCAAGGGCGACCAGAATCAGCTCTGCAATTTTTCATGGCTGGCTCACAAGAATTCCCTGGATCGGTGGAGACATCATCAGACAAACAAGAGACTTCTAGATGGGCAGATCAGCACCAACCTGCAAGATTCAGAGACTTTGGGATCATGCTTCTCGACTCGAGCCAGCCGACGAAATGGTTGTACCTCGCGTCTTCTTATAAGATCGATCAAGTGCACCTCACACATTCTCGAACAGGTCTTGAAAGTGATCCCCATCGCAGGACTGCATTGATTGATGTACGCTGCTGCTGGACCGCAGCAGGTATTCATGAGCAGAATGACTATGGTTTGCAAATTGCATAAGTGTCTGGATCCGAATACGAGGCATCACTTTTCTGGAACTGCTGGCAAGACACCGAAGCTTTGTCTCTACTTCCATCGGAAATGGAATTCTTATCATTCTGGTAATAGAAGATGTTTAAGATGAGCCGTCTTCAGTCCGCATATCCTTCTGGCCGAAGACGACTACGACCTTGCCGAAAGACCTAAAGGAGGCAGAAGAAACTTTGCTGAAACTCCAGGTTTCCAGATCTCTGAATCAATGAGAAGTTGGTGAAGACGACGCAAGGCGACAAGTAGGTTCTAGACAAGATGACTGATGACGATTAAAGGAAGAGATTCTTCGGCATCAGCATGAATTTTTCGAGCTACATTCCGATATCCAGCTCGCTCTGTGTGTTGGCGCACTTTCTCACCATTAACCTCCAGCCCATACATTATAATCTGATTTCGATCTCGTCAGTGTCGGGCCACTTCCAAATGGCAAACCAGGACAGACTTTCTTGGACTGTTCGACCCACCAGTCGACCGTCATGGTACTCATCAGCCATCCTACTCCTCATGAAGCCACTGCTCGCTAGGAATGCCAAGGGGAATCGACATCCTTCTTCACCTCCTCAACCTTGTCTCCCCCCTCCGATCCCTCTTCAGGCTTCTGCTCGCGAAGATCGACATCCTTCTTCACCATTCCTTAGCCTTCACCTAATCCTCATCGATCATCACCGACTTCCGCACCCTCTCACGACACTTCCTCAACTTCTCCATCAACTCCTTCTCTCTAGCTTCGATCACAGCAAGCTCCTCCTCGAAATTCTTCTCCATCATCGCCCGCGCAACCCGAAGTTCCTTGGCGTCTTCAAGCGCCGTACGCAAGTCCTCTTCGGCCAGATCAATCTGATCTTGAACGTAGTGGGCATAGGCAGATTTGCGAGCCTCTTCGGTATTCTCTACAGGTCCAGCATCGCCAATTCCATCAGCCGTCCGCTCAGTGTTATCTTCAGCAATCGAGCCGACTGCTGGAGTGAACTTGTCGTTCGGATCACCCGATGTGCTTGCGAGCTCCTCGTTGCCGTTCGGGATGCGGTGCTCAGTAACAGCAGAGGCCTTTGGCGTGAGAACCTCCCCATCCTCCGAAACCTCACTGACATCTCCGACCTTGGTCTCGCCGTTGGACGTATCCACCTTTGTTGATACCTCCGCACCAGCGTGCACGGCTTCGCGCTTCGCCTCGAATGTAGTCACGCCACCAGGAAGCTTCTCCAACGCGCGAAAGTTGATGTTGTACTTCGCATCGTTTTTGGACAAGCTGGTTTCAGCAGAGATGACACGCGGAGTGGGCTTGACAATGCTGCTATTGTCGTCAAAGAGAGGAGGCATGACGATGATGGGCGGATCTTGGAAGATGGTAGAGAGATGCTGTGTCAGGTCGAGGCCGGCAGACTCGTTGGCAGAGGACTTGTTGATGTGTACTGTGGGCTGGGCGTAGCTTGGCGACATTCTCAGGCTGAACTGCGGCTTCGTACTCGTCGGTCTTCTACTTGTGCCAAGTTGCTTTTGGAGAGTAGCGATTTCTTTCTGCGCAGCTTCTAGCTGTGTCGGGAAGGAATCTCGTTCGTTTCGTAGCTTTGATTCTCAAGTGCTCTGTCGCGGGGATGCGGACTTCGAGGAAATGTCGAGGGTGTCAAGTTGAGAAACAGGTTAGGGGCGAATAGTCTGCTTAAAATTAATCTCCGCAACGCGTCGGCCCGCAGACGCACGGACTCGAGTGTAAGTGAATATACATTCTTGGCATGTGAGTATAGAAGAGGAAACAGTTTTCAGAAGACGAGGAAATTTGCAAGGGACGGTAACGGTTGGAGAAGAACATGTGAAGATCTACTGCTGATGTGTTTGCTGTCTAGCTCCAACAACAAAGAAGCCACAAACACGACGACAAGGGAGTTCTGGACAATGGAATCACGACCATGAGATTCTGAAAGGAGGAGATAAAGGGTTCATGGTATGATGGTATCATTCGCATTGTATTAACTCCCTCCACTTTCAGAGCACTTCAGCTATGACTGAGCCTCTTGTGTGTGCTCAGCTCAGCGAGCCCATCTCTGGCTCTGGCAATTTCTCAATCATGCAGCATGCAAATCTGAGAACTTCCTCTACTCGGCAAGCCACTGGTAGCTAGGCAGCCACGACAGATCGACCTCCTTTCGCTCAGTCTCGGTATCGTCCTCGCCAATTTCCTCCGAGGCCCCCTTCTCGCTCGCCATCCAGGCACAGTTCCGGTCCGCGATCTCTCCGCGCCTCGCCCGAGCCACTGCCAACTTCTCCTGTAGACCCTGGCTCTTCTCGTCGAGCGCCTCGATTCGCTTGTCGATGGACTCATTCGCTCGATCGCGAGAAGCCTCGAGTTCGGCCTTCTGCTTGAGCAGAGTCGCAATCAGCTCGGCCTCTTGGAGAAGCTTGTCCATGAGATCTTGTCCAGAGATGAGCGTGCTGGCGATGGGAAGAGCCTGCACATTGCTCACGCCATTGCCCTCGTTGGCTTCAGCTTGGCGTGTCTCATCAATTGTGTGCTTGTTGCCCTCCTTTGGGCTCGAGTCGGCAGCAGTTTCTGTTGGAGTGATAAGTGCCTCGTTGGAGATGCTGAGCTCACCTGCGATGGCGCCGCTGTCGATGGTAGGGATGGCATCGGGGATCAGGCCATCGATGATGCTCTCGGTGTCGGCATTGGAGGAAATTGGTGTGAGCACCACCCAGTCCTCCTCGGAAAGGTCATTGACGTCTTCCACGGCGACCTCGTGATCCAGATCAACTTGTTCCTTTGCTTCGCTACGAGTTGGCATTTTGGCGACCATGAGAGGCGGCATGTCTGCGAAGTCCGACTCGGCGTCAGTATTGATAGACTGGTCGTAGTTGAGGACGTCGCCGTCGGTGCGGATGGTGGTGTTGCGAACCATCTTGGTCGTCCGTGTTCCTCTGTATGATGTTGAGTCTAGTGTGATCCTGAGCGGATGTTGTCTTGGGGGGTGATTCCGAGCAGTGTTGCAGGTGCGAAGTGGAAAGAGAAGAAGAGCAGAAGGTCGAAACGTCAGCTTAAATACTGTTGGCGAGCGGGTTCGGCCCGCATCGAGCGGGACGCACGGACTTTGATGTCAGTGAATATATAGTTCTGACATGTGAGTATAAGAGACGGAACGCTAGTAACTGTTGAACACATGCGTAAGGAGCGATCTTTCACTCAGGAAGACCTTCATTCTATAGGCAAGCTGGTTTGCTACACGTTTGCTGGAGTCTCTGTTCCAACAATGACCAATCCAGTGCAAACCGAGCAGAGCAAAAAATTGCAGATATGCAGTCGTGAGTTCGGTTGTCCTCTAGGAAGCGTTCGCCTTCACCTTCACGATCTGAGTATGCTTCGCTTGGACCTCTACGAGCTTCTCGAGCAAGCCTTGGCGCCTCTGCTCAAGCGCCTCGATCCCGTAGTCAATTCGCGAATTGGCCCTCGCGCGAATGGCTATAAGCTCCTCCTTCTCCTCGAGCAGAACCTTATCGGCTCACCCTCCTTGATGACCTGGTCGAAGAAGTCATAAGCAGAGGCGAACTTGTGCGCCATCGCTATGATCTGAACATTTTGCTCGCCGTTATGGATACTGTCCTCTGCAGCTTAGCTCTGCTTCGGCTTTCGCCATTCCATCACCTTCGCTCTCGGCTTCTTTGGCGACCTCATGCTCTGCTCCATGCCCATTCTCAGCGAGTCCCCGAGCACGACTGCCGTCGTCCTTCGGCGGCTACTTCTTGCCGCGTCTGGGCATGCTAGGGGACCTTGTTGTTGCGAGACGTTGTTGTTACCAGTCGTTCGATCAGAAAGAGTAGAGCCGATTTGGAACTCAGTTGGAGTGAGTAGATTCTCGACAGCCCTCACCTGCGATGCTCTCGTCAATCGCACTAATGCCATCAGGGATCTGATCATCGATGATGTCCTTGATGTCGCTACTGGCCTCGGAAGGTGCATCGTTGTCAGAGGCAGCTGGAGTGAGAGTCTCTCCATCCTCTAAGAACTCACTAACTTTCTCGACTTGAATACTGTCGTCTGAGATGTTTGAGTCGGCGGCATCGTTTACGTTCTGCCTGGAGTCGAGTGTGCCGGCGCCGCCTGAGAGGGCAATCATGGCGCGCATGTTGACAAAGTATTTCTCGGGGTCCTTAGGCAGGTTGATACCAGCAGAGATCTCTACATTTGGGGGCGAGCAGAATGTCTTGTCTTGCTCAATGACCATGGCCCCGTCGGCCGTGACAAGATGTGGCATGTCCGCGTGATCGTGTACAATGGTAGTACCTTTGTTCATCGTAATGTCGCAGACGTGGTAAGAATCCATACTGCTAGCAGTGACGACTTTACGTATCTCGAAATAGCCTATTTCGGCTGTTGGGGTATGCATAGTCTTGTGTGCCGCACGGGGGTTAGATCGGAGGTAATTGTAGGTTCCAATATCTTCTAGAAAAGCGATGTTGGGAAGCTCAGGGAAACTCGACTCATACGTACTCCGAGAGCTCCAACTGGATGCTGGTGTCGTTGAGCTTCTCGATCGTCTTGGAATTCAACACTTGAGTGTTGTAGTTGATCGAAAGGATGTGCCCTTGAGAGACAACTGTATGCCCTTCTCAGCACGATGAGCTCGAAGCTCATCGCACCAACGCTTGGAGTTGGCTTCTATGGATACCCACGAACAACTTGGTAGCCTGCTTTTCCGTCTCGGGAAGGAACACCGAGCCTTAGATCTGGAGGATGATTAGAATAAGATTTTCAAATACTGTTGGCAAGGGTGAACCGCTGCATCGGCCGGCGTTGAACAGCACGCAAGGACTTACAAGCCAGTGAATATAAAATCACAGCATCTGAGTATAAAAGAGTGAACATCTCACAACGAGAGAAACAAGGACAAACAGGAACAGTCAAAAATTGCACGAGAAGGTCACCTCATGCTCCGTTTGCCATGAATCCCATCAACAAACACAAACCCCCATTCATGTCACCCCCTTCCCAAACATTTACCTCTCGCCCCTCCCCAAACATCCCAACAACCCTCTCCAGATCCCCTTGTCTACGTTCAACCTCTTCAATCATACCCCCCAACCTTCCCACATCCCCCACCATCAATCTCCTCCAGAACCTTAGCTAGCTCTTGCTCGCTGATCTCTTTTATCCTCTCATACGATTGTTTCAAACTCTCTAGGTAACTCCGCATGCGACTGACTCTTCGGCGTTGATAAGTTTCTGGGAGTTCTGAAATGGCTGTGTTGATATCTGCATCGGTTTGCAGGCTTTCAAAGTCGCCGGCGAGGGCGGGAGTTTTTGACGCGACATTCAGGACGCCGTGTTCTTGTTCCGTGGACGAATTTTGACGTTACGAATAGACGTCTTTAAGCCGCCCCGAGACGTGTCGTGTAGATCCACAAGATCGAATGACAGCTCAAATATTGAAATGGGGGATTGCTACGGCCCGGACGTATCAAAGAGTGGAATATACGAGAGATAGCCATGGGAGTCTTACGACGTTGGTCGATGAGACACAATGGAAAGGGAGATGGTGACCAAGAACCGACTGAGGATCCGTGCTTCATGGATTCGATAGGGACTCATTTGAAGACGTCTAGTAGCTGCGGGCTAGATATCAAACTCTCCATGATGTTCGCTGGTCTCGTCCGAACCTTTGTCGTTCAATCCACAAAGCAGATTACCAACCACCTAAGCAGCGGAATCTTGAGCAACCTTTCCAGCGACCTCCTCCTCGTCAGTCTTCTCGCCAGTCTTCTCCCCAGCCTCTTTCGGTGCACTTTCCAATTCAGCAAGACGCAACCTCGTCTTCTCCGCCTCTTCCGCTTCTAGCTTCTCTTTCTCCTCCCTCTCCTTAGCCTCTCTCTTCTCCCGTTCTTCACGCTCCTTCGCCTCAATCTTCTCTCTTTCCACATTCTCAAGCGCCTCCAACTCATCTTCAACTTCTCCCTCGTCGATCTCGCCAGCTGATACCTCATTAATAGCGTTCCCAATCTGCTCCGTGTCCATCATACTTTCTCTGAGATCATCCATGACCTCCGACACCTTGTCCGCCCCGCCAGTCTGAGCGTTAAGGCTCTTCAGCGTCTTGCCTGAGTCCTCAAGCACTTTTACGATCTGCACTTGATCAGAAGCTTGCTCAATGCTCGCGTACACGCCTTCAAGTTGTGCAAGCATATCTGAGCGCTGCTGGAGCTTGGTATTCGCCATCTTCTTCTGCCGCAGAGACGTCTTGGCTTTGATAGTCTGCTTCTCAGATACTGCCTCTCGCGCAGCTATGTCGAGCTCTGCAATTCGTGATGTGAGGGACTCAATTTGTGGCTGCAGGTCTGAGATGAGTGTCCGCAAAGACGCAATACTTCGGTCCTCGGATGTGATGGGCTGTGGCTGTGGTTCGGCCGCAGTCTTGAATTTGACTACGCCGGACTCCTTCTCGAATGCCAACGCACCGAGATCACGCGAAAGATGCATGAGCAGTACATCCAAGTCAAGAGGGTTGATAGATTCCACGCCAAGCGTAGTCGAGAAGGTCTTTGCGAAAAGGTCCTTCGAGTATATCCGATCCGCCTCGCTGGCTGAAATCTTGCCTGCTCGCTGGAGAAGCACTTTTGCAGCATTCTCGACATTTGCTACAACCACGAACTGGCTGCGTACAAGCCTATCCTGTGCCCCTCCTCCTCCGAGTCCCGCCTGTCTGAGTGCCCACGCGAGAAGCTGCCATGGTGTAGGTATCCAGCTTTTATGATATAGACTCTGTTTATTTTCTAAGAACTCCTTCAGCGGAAGTAGCGCTTTGCTCTTTACCGCATCTTCTAGCACTGCGCCCAACGCAAGAGGCTGGCCGTATTCTTGTGTCTGCAATTCCCTGAGAAGTTCTGGGCTGCTTTCGAGGATGAATGGGCTATTGCTGCCGCTGGTCTGAGAAGGAATCAAACCAGCTTTCACGGCGGAGGTGAGCGCGCGCAGCCATGCTGAGCTGTTTGCCTGATAGCCATCTGGGTTCGTATTACGTTGGAAGCGGAAATCGGAGTAGAGAGATGCTAGGCGTGAGCGGCTGAGAAAAGGTTAGGATAAGGACAGCGCCAAGTGGATGGTTTGGGCTGATGCCACACCTACGAAATGCTTCATCGTGAGTGCGGAGGAATTCGAGAAGCTCACTCATTTCGAGCCGGACGACTGCCTGCGTGGAAGGGTGTATGGGAATTGTGATGGGGACGAGATCGCGAAGTTCAGCAGGAAACAAAGATCCGGAGTAAACAGTGACGTCGCTGGCGCACGCGCCCCGGACCCTGTCACATGCCCGCCAAGACCCTTGACCGCGCTCTCCCGCACTTTCTCCCCTGTCCACTCATCAACTCGGCATGCCCATCATAAACACCCCAGATTAAACAACTACCATTCGCATCTGCCCGCCAACAGTAGCCCAAGGGACCGGCAAGCCACCTGAAACGTGCCTCAGGCGTGTACTGTGCTTTTCCGGAAGGTTGAGAATGCCAAGACTCCTGGTTTTTTAAGCCTTATAGAACTCTAAGATTAGACTTCCTTAGGCCTGTTGTGGTTACTATCACACCGCTTATTAATCCAGCCTCTTTAATATATATTGTTACGCCTTATTGCCGCTAGAGGTTGCTATTCTTATCGCTATATCGATAGCAACTAATTTATAGCGCCTATATCTTAAATACTTAGTAGCTATAGAGCGCGCGTCTCGATCGCGGAAACAGGCCTCGAAGGACCTTCTAGCGTATAAGGAAGCGGTTAAGCGGCGCGAGTCGCCTACTAAGAAGGGTAAGAAAAAGATAGTCGAGAAGAAAGCGGTCGAGAAGAAGGTAGTCGAGAAGAAAGCGGTCGGCGGTAGCGGTAGCGGTAGCGGTAGAAAGAAGAAGACGGCGTAGTAGGAGAAGTTTAGTAATATGTCGGCCTTCGAGGCAGCGACGTATAAGGACTTCTAGGTTAATAATGCCGCTACTACTATAGTAGAAGATAATAATATAGCGGTTAAGGCTAGCGAGTTAACGCGTTTAGCTAATGCCTCGCCGGCGCGGCGCCTAGTTAATAGTTAGTAGATAAACGAGGAAGATATATCTACGCTATCTTATAACCCTCGTAAGGACCTTTAGTATAAGTAAACCTAGCGCCTTCTTACTAGTAATAATAAGCTAGCTTTCGAGAACTATAACCGTACTAGTGCTAGCACTTAATACGCTAAAGATGCGTACTATTAGGCTAACGAAGAAGCGTAGAAGAAGCAGCTCTACGTCGGTAACTATATATTAGTCGTATCCGCCGCGAAGGTATCGAAGGGTAACTAGTTTAAGTAGAGTTAGAAGAAAGGTAAGGTAACGATATTCTTACTATTACTATCGCTCTTACCTAACGGCTTCTTCCGCTTAACCTATACTAATTCCTTCTATAGTAGAAGATTATAATAAGGCTCTCGACTACGCTATAGAATTAATAAATAATACTCGAGATAAGATTAAGGTTGATATCGAGTTTAAGACTACTATAAAAGATGCCGGAACTAGAGCTATCCTTAAGGTTAGCAAATTAAAGCCGAATAATTAATAGAATATCGATAGCCTTACCTTTATTACTAAGGAGCGGAAAGAAGGCAACTATACTACTAAGCTTCTTGCTAACTATATATATACCCTTCCTAGCTGCGAGAACTATAGTAACTACTATTATAGGCCTAAAGGATTGCTAGATATCGATCGCTACTATTACTAGTTCTATAGTAAGGCTACAAAGCTATAGTCTTATACCCTTGCTATAAAGCAAGAAGGTGTAACTCTTAAGAAGCCGCTATATAGTGTATTCGCGAAGATATAGCTATATAAGGAGAAACAGCAGGCTCGTAAACTAAACAGTCTACTTGCCGCCGCGAAGGAGCCCTTCTAAGTACAGACACTAGCAAGGGCTCGCTCTGCGCCTATATATCTAGCTCCGCCGCTAGCTATTAATTATATTAGTCTTCTATAGACTATGTTCAATTTAGTTAACTAGAAGCTAGGTGCCGCCGCCGCCGCCGCTGCTGCCGTACTAGTTAAAGACGCTTAGTCGTAAGAGTCGCCTATTCTAAGATACGTTGCTTAGCAATTAAATATACCGCTAAGAAGCCTACTAAGATAGTTCTTTCAATAGGCCGCTCTTTAGTACGAATAGAAGGAAGCTAAGGATAAAGAACAGCTCTTAAAGATAGAAGCATACTTTATAACTAAACGATATAACTGCGATTAGTTATATTAACTTCCTATAAGAGATTAGAAGGAGCTTAGCTTCTATAAAGGCGACTTAGGTACGTTACGTAACTACTTAAAGCGCTTCTAGAAGGAGAAACTATCCGAGAGAGAGTAAGATAATAACGATATTCGTAACGGAGCGACGGCTGTTTCTATTTGTTTAGTTTAGTTAGGCGTTTATATACAAACTACGAATCTAAGGGCTTGCTATTTGCTCCGTTGTGTATATCTCTATTACTATCGTTGCTTCGAGAGTGCTTTCCGGCTTTATTCTCGGAGTTGAAAGCGGAGGTAATATATAAAGCTTAGCAGTACCTACAATCCTATTATTAATTTTGCTATACTAACACTATGCTAGCTATATATATAAAAATTATAACGGAGCTTTATATCTATCTTATCTTGGTATCCTGTAAATACTAAGATATATAATTAAGGTTGTAGTAGTTAGATTTGAAGCGACTAGAAATTCCGAGTAAGCTAGCTTTCCGCTTTAATCTCCGCTTTAGCTTTAGCTTTATTAAAGCCGTTTACGTTATATCTACTATACTTAAACAACCCTATTATATTTATCTTTCTAATATAGTCTAGCGCCTATATAAGGAACTCTTAGAAGGTCTCGAAGTCGGCTATAAGGTCTCTATTCTTCTTAAGCTATTTCTTAAGCAGCGCGAAGGTCTGTTCGATAGGATTTAAGTTAGGAGAGTATAGCGGCAAGTACTCGAGCGTGTGTCTAGCTAACCGGATTATCGACTTAACCTTATCGCTATAGTAGATTAACGCGTTATCTATTATAATAATCATCTTCTCGTCTAGAAGCGGTAGTACTTTGTTCTTAATCTAGTCGTTAAAGGTAACTTAATTAATAGCGCCTTAGACATAGAGCGTATACAGTAAATAGCTATAGATTGTAAGCGCTAGAAGTACTAACATTCGCTCTTGCTGTTACGTATACTAATAGTCGTAGCAATCTATACCCTTCGGAGACTATCTAAACTTACGGTGTCTAGTCTTCTTATTAGAAGCCGTCTTATCGATAAATACTAACTTATCGATAGGCTATTTCTAACTCCTAGTGTGCTAGGCGGCTCTTGCTAGCGTACTACGCTCCTTCGCGATCTTCCGAGCGGCCTTACGTATCTATCTAGTACTATACAAACAGCGCTATACTATTAACGGGTCTACCTCGATATCGAAGCGATCGAATAGTACGATATATATCTCCTCGAGGTATGCCTCCGGTCGCTTCGATAAGTACTTAAGCAGATAGATTTCTATCTCCTTCGTTATCTTCCTCTTACGACTCGATTTAAACCGCTTCGACGGTAAGAATACCTTACTAAATTGATTATAATAGAACTTCTAACGATATATAGTCGACTAGCTCGTATCTGTCTTTAATACGATATTAACCACCTTATAACCGGCGTTAAAATAGTGCTTAGCGAGTCGCGTAGTATCGGTAGGCAGGGCCGTAGGGAGGGCGCGTATAGCGTAGAAGAGCTAGAATAATACTAATAACAATACCTTAGACTATATATTTAACGGCTATACTAACAATATGTATTTTCTCGTGTTTGGGGCTATATAGCTAAAGAATAGGACAAAATGGTCGATTTACTAGCAAAATCTTAGTAGGGTTTCCTAGGTCTTAGTATTCTTAACCTTTTAGAAAAGGATAGTAGATCTAGAGTAAAGATTACGTCTAGAGTAGGAGTCCTTTACCTTAGAGGTCGATATTATAGCTATTACGAAATGAGACTTGCATTAACCGGATAGAGAAGTAACTATATAGCCGAAAGAGAGACGACCCTTATTTAACCGATCTCTTACGGCGATATAGTAATGCTACTAAAAAGCACTCGGACAGCACGCTTCTGAACTCAAGCTCCTCCTATTCTAAGGCTATTACGAGTAAAAAGCACTCCTAATTACGAATCGATACTATCGCTTGCAATTCTTACAGACACCGGTCACAGCGGCTCTACCTGAGGCAGAACCCATGCTTAAGCATTGTACGTGCCATGTCGCAATCCAAGACCTTGAAAGCAGCCATATGAGTTCCAAAGGCCGAGGATGCGAAACACGCCCAGCCAGATTGTGCAGTACAGTATCAACCCAAGTAGAGGAGGACATCGATGATTATCTCCCAACCAACCTCTCAACCTTAGGCATCAAATCCCCAACCCGAAAAGGCTTAGAAATCACATCATCTCCAACGCATCCCTAACTTGCGCATCCCTCGCATTTGCACTCACCGCAATAACAGGAATCTGTCGCACAATGCTTCCCTCCGCGAATCCGTCGCGCGCATTCCATGCCTCCCATAACCGGCATTTCGATATTCATGAGGATAACCGATAGTTCCGTCGAACACGAAGTACTTTCCAAGAACGACAAGGCTTCGCCGCCGTGCTTGACGACGTGGACAGTGTGGCCGAGTTTTTGTAGTTGCATGCATAGGACTTTTTGGTTGACCTGAGGTACGAAGTGTTAGCCGGACGGGTCTGTGGTGGCCTCGATATCATTTTGCTTGCCAGATGATCTTCAACAACTAGGATGTTGTATTTTGATACAATGCGAAGGTCGCGCCCTTTGCTGGAACAGATGCCACTCCGATTTCGCCGCCCTGGAGTTCAATCATTTCTCGACTGATGAAGAGACCGAGTCCTGAGCCTCCATATTTCGTATAGGTACGAGGACTTGCGTAAGAGAAGCGTTTGAAGATCCGCCCCTTTTGCTCTTCGTCTGCGAGGAAGCGTTAGCTTCGGGAATGATCTTTACTCTTTTCTCCTATATCAAATAAGATCTATTAAATTACCCTCTATCTCTCTTCTATTATATAAGCGTAGAGGAAGTAGCTACTTACTACCTTAAGGCCCTTAATTATAGCTTTACCGACTATCTATAATTATAA